AAAATACGCTCATTTTAAAATTATTTTGCGATATTGTTGTTGAACTGAATTTTATGGTTTAAGTGCGAAGAATATGGTATTTAATAAATAAAGGTAACACATAAAACGTTAAAAAACGCCCCTTTGAAAGTAATGTAAAATCTGAAAGCTCGCAGACTTTTATAGATTTCTTTTTAATATTGCCTTCGCTTTGCACCCAGAAATCAAAAAGTTAACAGTGTTTATTAGATAAGAAAATAAATATTCTTAGCTAATATTATTATTTTATTAATTAATTAATTACTAGTAGGCAACTGAATTGGTGGTTTCATTGTCGTATATAACGCCATCACTGGCTTAACTGAATACAGCAAAGCGTACGATAGCTGTTTGTCTATGAAAACGAATGCCTTCATGGACGACCTTTCTAGGAGAAGCTGGCTCATTTAAACGTTACATAATGTGGAAAACCACCCATACACCCAGCTCGTTTGCTTGCGATCACACAGGAGCGCAATGCGTTATTGAATAGGTGGTCATAATCTTTCGGCTCTTCAATGTATACAGTAATGTTGAAATTCGGTGGTGTTTCATCAGGTTTAAGTAAAGACTCGCTACTACAGCATAGTACCTCATTCATACTTTTATTTGATTGAATATAAGCGGCATCACGAAATTTTGATTAGTCATAGCTTCTGAACGAAGTAATGCACTGAATCCATTCTAGTGCCTTTAATTCCTTCTGAAATCACGAATACACCATACTGTGTTACCGCACTTCTTCGAAGATGCCCAGAATGTGTGAAGAGCAGTGTTTATGAAAAGCATCTTTTATTTCAACTGTCAAGCCCTATTCTCAAGACGCATAACACCCGAATCAAAAACACACAAAAAAAAGTGCTATCAAAGCCTCCTTTGTTACTGTGTATTTGGACTTCAAACAACCAAAGGAATATTTAGATATTTCTCCGTCACCCTCATGATTTTTAGAAAATTTAAGCCCTCAACAAAATTTAGCTGGGAGAAACTTATTAATTCTTAACTGTCAATTTGAAATATTTAATTATTAATTTATTCCCTTTTGGCTCAAAATTTTGTAAAATACCAAAATATGTATTACAAAACTAATACATAATGGATACTATCTATGAGCAATTAAAGAAAACATTAAGTTCCAATAGATAAGTTAGTCAATTCAACAAAATTGTTTTCATGGTCTCTAAGGAAACCAAACGTTCAAATATTTTCATTTAATCCATTTTAATAACAACTAACCGACAGTTTCACTGTTAATTACTTAGGAATCATTGTAGATTTAAGAACCATCAAACAGAGCAAATAAACGTGTTATTAATAAAGATAATGTGTCTTTGTTGGTGTATCAATCATGTGTCAGAAATTGTTGGATCTTCTAGGATTAAATCCCTACTATTCACATTTTTAGGACCTCTGTAAAGAAGAAGGTGTTTTTCCTTGCCATACGAAAAATATTTGTTTAGATAGAAGTATGTTTGTTTACGTTCCAGGAATTTTATTGGGAAGGGATTATTACCTAGTAATATCAAGACAAGATATGTTTCGATATTATATGTTTAAAAAACAAACATGTCTTCTTCTATGAAAGGGATCGATAAATAACTCAATCGATAAATACTCAATCGATAAATAATTACGCTCTAAAAGAGAACTTCTCCATCGTTTCAGGGTGACATGTTTGACCACAGATTTATAGAGTCAAGCAGTAACAAAAAGCTTACGGTAAACTCCATGAAACCAAAATTCTACCGCCCGTTTCTTTCCTAAATTTTAAACATATCGCTGCTCTCAAATTCTAAAGCGCGGCCCCATACTCTCTGGCAGCCTCAAAGAACAGTTAACGCTAGTGGAATCGGTGACTCAAAAGAATTTTAGAAAATTATATTTAGGTGTTATGCAAACGTAGCCTAGTCAATGAAATCATTCCGTTATTAAATACAACCAAACGCCGCTACAGCGAACTCGATTAATAATGAGTTCCCACATATAAGGAAAGAACATTTTTGCCTCGTCCAGCTTCTTATACATTTAATCTTATTCTAAATAACTGTAGCAAACACGCGTGAAAATCGGGTGCAAAGCGATTTATGGATACTTTCGAGTAACTCTTTAGTTTACATTTTTATTAATTTTATCTGCAGATTTTCTGCAAGTTTTAAGTGAAAATTTTCTCTTTCTCAAAATCATCCATGTTAAGATATTAGGATGCCATCCATGTTAGAATAATGGATAAACATCTCTAGATTATTGTTCATTTTATTTTCCACCCCACTTTTCTCTGAATTCTAAGCAAAGGTTATTGGAGTCAGATGTAATATTTATATCTTGGCACACCAAGACACACAATCCGTATATCTTAGAACAGCGTATGGTATCTGTGACCACCGAATAAAAGAACGTAAGTGGATTCTCTAATTTCGATCAGATTATTCAATGTAGCTGTGGTACAGAATTCTATTCAAGTCCGATGTTACGATGGAAATTTGAAAACTTTTCCGCTGTTCAGATAAAGAGGTAGTGAATAAATTCTTATGCGCTTGGTGCTATGCAAATGAATTTTTTCTTTTCCGGGAATGAATTTTTTTTTATCCTTATTGATTAACGTGGTTTTAACATTTAAAATGCGCCATCTAGACGGGAAAGTGGTTAGTTATTTTGACTACCGTAACGAAGGGTCGGGGTTCGAATCACGGAGAATGCATGCTTGTAAATTATCTGTCCCTTTATAGGCAGTTAATGGTGGCTGCTTGTTAGATGCCTCCACGGTAAAAAGACCACCGTTTCTGGCCTTAATAGTGGCCGAAGCGTAAAAAGGCTGGTACCCTCCATAAAGTAAAAAAAAGTGTTTAAAACCTCGAATTGGAAGAAAGGGTTATATTCATTAGATTTCCTGCAAGATACTCTTTACAAAGGATATTACACTTTTGCGTGGCAACCATACATATCTTGGGAAGAATAAATACATTCTCACTATGCATGTCAAAGATTAGTAAAAAAATTATCGTCACTTTTCATATTTTACAGAGGAATAACACTTCACATATTCTTTTATCTAACTTAAACCTTTTCTGTATATTGGCGAAATTTCGGTATCGAAAATTCGTCTGTATGTTAATTGGCAAATGTACCGTGTTCTATATAGAAATTAACGTAAATATTATTTGGAAAATACAGAATAAATGTAAAGAAATCGATATGTACGGAAAATACAGTTTATCCAAATCCACAATTAGGAATGTGTGGAAAATCGGAACTCGATAATTTCTTCTTCTATTCTAAGATATTTTTGGAACAAAATTCATACGAAGGAAAAGTTAAAAAGGACTGATCGTTAGGATGTTGAAAAAGCATTGCTGATACAGTTCCCGGTTCAAAGAGGCTAAAATGCGAAATTATCTATGCAAATGCTAGATTTATTTGCGCGTTTAAATGGAGATGTCAATTTGTAGGAATGGATCTGTACCATGATTTTTATATGCTAATAAATTTAATGCGTAAATATATTAACGGGCGGAAAAACTTTAAAAATAATTATTAATTGCATGTAATAGTAATTGTACATATATATTTATACAATTACCTCCAATATGATTTTTTAAATTAGAGATTTATTCACATCTTCAGGAGATGTAACAGTGCTAACAGTATTTTTTGTGACCCAACAATTAAATTTTATATTATTTGTTGAATGACCAATTTTTTTTGGTACCAGATCTGATATAGCGAACCAAACTTTCGGTCTCTTGAAATTCATAATAGCTGGATTTGACTGTATAATACTATATTTTAAAGGTAATACATATTTATTAAATAAATAATCTTTTCATATAAACGTTAATAGCAAATGAAAATGTTTTATTTTTCAGTTTTATATATTATTTGAAAGGCAAAATTAAAAGAAAAAAAACAATCAGTGAGATGGAAGGATGAAACAATAAATGTTAAGAGCTGTTGGTTTTTGCAACTTAAAATTTCTAATAAAAGGTATATGTTTAACTTTTTTTAATTTTGAAATTGTTTATAATTTATTTTATTTTATTTTATTTTTTACAGTTTCACGTATACTTAAAGCCTCTAACATAATATCATTTAAAAAACAGCGGAAACTGCCAATAATTCGTTTTGCAACTTAATATTTAAAGAGTTCATTATAAATAAAATGAATATTTTTTAATGTTTTTGTTTTATTTTTTTTGGGGGGGGAATTTATAATAAGTAATGATCCGATAAATTAAACAAATGTAAAGTTGCACTAATACTTCTATGAATAATTGGAATCAGCTTTCGAAAATAAATCCCATTTACATAAGTTATATCTTTTTGACAGGAAATATAGAAAATAATTCATAATCACACAATCAAAAAATATAATCACACAATTATACGAATCAGAAGAAGGCGAAATGGCTATTTCTTACTAGTAAAAAGGAAACCTACTAGTAAATGTAATAATTATCATTTAAGGTGCTTCGATAATATTAATCTATTAAATATATTAAGAAATTAGCTTTCGCTATAAAAGCGACTCTATACTAAAATAAAACTATAACTATTTTTAATTTCCTATATGATATTTTCTTAAATATCCTTACTGCTACGTTATTTTTATCTGAGAGTTGGTCAGAATCGTTCAAACGATTTTTGAGCAAAATACTTAGAGGAAAATTTTGAAATCGTATTCAGAAAAACAACTAAATTTGTTTTTACCTGAATCAGTAATTCTTGTTGTTAAAAATTAAATAAAAATAATTATATTGAAGGTTTCAGTGGAAACATTATTATGCGGCTAAAGAAGTGCATTCATACAAATACATAAAATATTTTTCTTTTCGAAAACATAAACTTCGTAAAAGATATACTGAGGCTTATGTTTAAAAGAATTTCCCTTACGAAAAATATTCTTCAGCATAGAAATAAGGATCCAAACGCATATTTAATGAGAAAGAATTGTGACCAAGAAAACAAAATAAAGTACAGATGCTTACCTCGCAAAAGATTTTCCTGGCCCATTCTTCGTCAAAATTTCCTAATATTATTCTAACATCTTTATTCTGAAAAAAAAAAGTGGTTGAAATGAAAAGCAGTGTAAAAAGAATTAAAATATGCTGTGTTAAAGAAATTTAATCATAATTAGAAATTCTTGCTAACTTACAAAGAATACCAACATATTTTCTGTTGCATAATTAAATGAAATTAATATTCTAGTTTCGTCTTTCATAATTTAAATGAAGTTTTTATGGCGATAATTACGTTACTGGAAACATAACACTATGAACTTTTCTGCTGAACTTCTGTAATTCAAATTTCCCTTTGGTGCCAATTAATGCTTTCATGTTCCCAGTAAAGTTTTCTTTCTCGAGCTTAACACAGGTTATTAAAAGTAGACAATAGTATTTGCTTTATATTATTCAGTTTCTTTATTATTTTAATTTCGAAAACAACTATCATTTTCTTGTGCGTCATGTAAGGATATTACACAATCCAGTGAAATATAAATGTAACATTTTCCTAATTTTTGCAATGCAAATAAAATGTACTAAGAATCAGAAAAGGTTTCTTTTGAAGAAAATACATAAAAAGTCTGGAAACATGTGTCCAGCTTATAATAACATTTAACGCCGTGAACAGTATAAAGCTTGGACTCAAACAGTTTGTGGCTAACAAGTTGTTTTTAAGTTATTAAGATTATATTTCAAAGTGAGTTTTGGGGATCACTAACTGTACATGATTCCAGTTTGTTTCTATCCCTTTCGTTTTTAAAATGTTCAAATATTTATTTGAGAGTGTAATTAAAATTCTCACAAAAGCTGTATAAGAATTATATAGGGGCTTTCAATCATATGCTTATTGTATGCAATTATTAAGATTCTATAAAAAATAACGAGTTTTCCTTGATTGCTTTGTATTTCTACGATTTTGCATTCTCGTGCGACATTTCACTTACTGTGTTGTAATTTCGTTGTATAAATCCTTTTTTTTCATAAAAAGAGAATTGCAAATTATACATTGTTGGAAGGATTTATCACTGCTTTATGATACTAAACATTTTTCATTTATGTGATTAATATACTAGTGCCTACTTTAGCGTTATTGATTTGTAATGTAGAACTATCTACTAAGCATAATTACCGCTTTATGTCCTAATGACATAGCCTGCAAAAGTCGCGTAAAATATTTCTAGAAATTTCTCTTCAGTTGACATTTGATTGCATTTCTTCCTAAACAACTGTAACTTTCCCCCTAAGTAATATTTTAATATTTTCCATTAAATGTTTCTTTAGCTTTACGTGGTTGTTTCAACTTCCGATGGAACTGGTAAAAACTTCCGCAAGATAATTTAGAGAGCATCAAATCAGCTGGAAACATAAAAAGGACACAATAAAAGAGAAAGAAAGAATGAGGAATGTTGATAGAATTAGCGTCGTCCATAATGTAAACGCAGGAATTTTTTGACAAGAAAGGAAGGAAAGTAAATTAAAGTTCTTTCAGCGGTTACTATTTTTTGTGCGGATGAAAAAGATAAACAACACAATCAACTTTAAGAAAATATATAAAGCGAAAACATTAATGCCAGTTTCAGAGAAAGTTATTTTCTTTTTAGACAGAAATAATTATGTAAGAAAAAAAAGCTCTCTGTTTTTAAATATTTTTTAATGCCAGATACATTTTGAGGCTAAATTCACTTCTGAGAATATTTTAATATTTGTTCTCTTCCCAGCTTTAATCAAAGCAGACAGTTGCATAATTTGGCCAAAGTTAAGTATTTGGAAATTAAAAAAAAATACCACGCATTTATAAATTTCATAGGCTGAGTATGCTATCCATACGCATTAATTTGGATATATGTTCAATACTTAAAATTCATTTATTTGTTATACTTAAGAAGTGAGGTTGAAAGTAAAATTATTTCTAGTGTAGTATAATATATACAAAGTAGAAATAAGTTTTTAAGGAATGTACAATTTTAATAAATTTTATACATTAATACCATATTTGTTTAAGAATAAAGCGTACTTTCTGATATATATGGATGTACACTCATGTTCAGTTATCTTTACGTGCATGGAATGACGAATTTCTCTGAAGCAGTGAACTATAAATTTATGAATTTGCGTAGAAAAATGCATGATTTCAAAGCACATAAATACAAAAGAAAAACTAAGAATACTGCTTCTTATATAAATCTGCAACATGGAATAATAAAATGGTAATAATATGTTACACGAAGAGTTCAGAAAAAAAAGGAATATCTCATAAAAGTGGTGAGGCTCATGAATTTAATATGGAATGTGATATTCCCCATACCATTACCGGAAATGGTCACGTTTCATACTACTGGTGTTCATTCTAGTTCTGACGTTCTTCACACCAGTTAAAGCAATCTCGCTTTTATTGTGAAGAAAATAAGACACATATGTTGGCTTTATGGCATAAAAGCCTCCTGTACACAGTTTATCGCGATGCAACAGTTCCAGTGGTTGCTACATGCAGGAACTCTAATACAACTAGAACAGTAGGTTTCCTGTCACGAAGGGCAGTTATTGCTGTATAGCGATCTTGGAAAACAGTTGTTATTCGTTTTCGACCTTACCTAGGTCTCCTTACAACAGTTCCAGAGTTCTAAAATTGTTTTCATAATGTAAAGACGGTATTTCGTGAAATTTTCACTCATCTCATTGATTCCATGATTACTTGCTCTGCTTCTATATGGCCGATGATTCGTTGCTTCACTGAGTCTTCCAAATGATACTTCGGATCCATAACAAGCCACTTGAGTCCTTACAGAATGAAATAAAACGCTATATTGCAGAAATTTACTCAGAACTTCACTTGCACAAAGCGATTGACTCACAGTCTGATGACGTAACGTCTGGATTTGACAAAAAGGTTTGATCACTTTTAAATGGATAATGTTAATTAGACTTGTCTTTCACATATTCCCAGCAAAAATGGTTGTTGTATTTAATTATGGCAAAGCACACTAGGGCTATCTGCCTAAGGGGAGGGATGCCTTCGTGGAGGACTTTCTAAGGGAAACTGGCTCGTATACACGTTACACATGGGGAAAACTACGAAAACACCCATCCAGCAAAAATGGATTACATCGATTTGATGTCTTGGAATGTCATTACATTTGCGTATATAAAGATAAATTTAGATATGAGTGTATTTATATGTACAAAGTATAAATCAGTATTACTTACAAGATGCATTAATCCTTCAATGCATGATTTTTTATATTTTTACCAAACATTTTTTTTTTATTATGGTCATGGCTTAAATAAATACGGAAAAATATTTAAACTATTATTTAACGTTTTTATTGATTATATTTTGGAATTGTAGGTTTGATGTATTTAGCACTAAAATGTAAACCACAGGAAAAATCATTTACAATTATATAACTAATAAATATTGGCATAAATATTTAAATATTTATTGTTTTTAGAAGATAATGACTTTAATTAAAATTTTATTGAAACTTAATTCTAATTAATCCTGTTCAGACTTTATAAAAATTAAAATTGCAATGAAAAATTAAATAAAAATGACATGTAAAATATTTTACAATACATTTATTTTGCAATTTATGTTGTATGGAAAATTTTGAAATAATTTCTATCCTTATTTAGACATGATGTAAGAACGTATTTTTCACATCCAATAAATGTTTGGATTTGCAGTTTGGCCTTTTACAACGAGTACGATTTTTGTTCCATATGGGAACATATCGAATTTTATCCTGTCGGACGCAAGTTAGAAGAATGTTTGACGCAGGGCCTTTCCATCTTTTTACATTGTACACCACTCGGTCTTCCCCGCTTTGGAACTGTACTTTCACCCATTTCGTACAGTCCAACGAATAGCTCAACCTGAAAGGCGGCCAGGTTTAGCAAATCCTTGAGGTTGGCTCCATTCTGTTGAGACACTTTTTTGTACAACATCCACGCACTTATGACTACAAGGTCAAAGAAGTGGTAAAAAACATCATATAACACTTTCTTGATTTCAGAGTTATTTTGTATCTTCCTATGTCACTATCCAGCAAATCTACGACCCCTATATGTTTGTTGTGTCGTTTCACAACATTTGGGCAGTCCACAGTAACTCTTTCTATTTTTTCTTCCTATCGAATCTAGATATCTGTTCAATTGAGTGTTTCATCAAAAACGTAGGCAACAGGAGCACATTCTTATCTTCTTTTCACATTAAATTGCATATTTCAATTCCACCACAGCCTGCAACGTCTTCAACATTGAGGGGACTCTTTCATCAAGTTGCTCATCTGTAAGTAGCTTGCAACCTGGAATTCTATTCCAACGTACTGTCTCCAAACAAGAATGCCCTCATCAGCTAAATACTTCATCATGTCAACTGAAGTATAAAAGTTAACGAAATACAATTTGAAATTTTGATTTCGAGGAATCTCTCTAGAAATTCTAATCACAGCATTTCCACTGGTGCCCAGTTCTGCCCATTTGCTAAGCAATTGTGAGATAGATTTTCTTGGCCTAAGTATACCTCAAACTTGTGAGCAAATCTATCAAGTCCACATAAAAATGGTTTGAAGACAATTAATTACCCAGTAAATGAACATAAATAAAAAAGTCAAAGAAATTTTCAATACAAACAAAAAATATACATACTACATAATTAGAGACATAAAATTAATACTTTATGACTCTAAATAACAAAAATGCATGTAAATATCGAGTGGGTATTGCTGATATAAAAAGAAGCATGAAATAAAAGTTATTATGAAGTCTTATGATTAAACATCCACTCTAAATTTTAACCTGACTCATATATGCATCAAACTGCACTCTAGAGTGAAGCCTAATCATAAATGCATAGTGATGCTTACATGAATCAAACAAAAAAATTGAAATATTTCATTTTAAAACAATTCTGTGGTTAAATCTTAACACAGAAATGAGAAGTACATATCTTCAGCAATATAGAATAAAATTTTTAAGCCTCTAATATTAAATTTATGAATAACACAAAGCTAGCTTGACCACTGAAGAAACAGAAACGAATTCCGTGTTCGTGGCATTAATGAAATAAAGAGTACAGTTTTATGCTGCCATCTACTTGGAGAAAGAACAGCTAAACATTGATATGGATATATTAAGATAAAATTCAGCCCAGTAAAACGTCTACTTTGTAATTTTTTTAATGCTAAATTCAGTAAAAATTGGTATGATTAATATATGCATTACCATGCATTGAAGGGTTAACTTCACAATATGAGTTCACATTATTAAATAATAGCAATAAGCCCAGAATTAAAAATTAAAATCGCTTTCAAAGAAGTTTAGCGCATATTATGGGAAGAAACAGACGGTTTTTTATCACTCCGTGGAAGTTTTAAAAATTCATAATAAATAAATTACGCAACGTATATTAAATTTTCTTATCCTGAAATGAATGTAAACTCATCAAGTTTGAGTTTTTTTTAAAGAATAGAACAAAGCCCTGGTGTGTTCGTATTTCCTGCTACCGCAGACATGTGCATCAATGGCAGGATTTCTGAAAGCTGACTGAGGCCTTAGTTCAAAAGCGTTGTTAGTTACTTATTTCAACGAAATAGTTATCCGACTCGGTATTGCTGAGACTGTTACTGAGATAATTAATGATATTATACTAGTAAAAAGTTTTATATATAGATAGATAACCTTTGCTAGTGAATCGCATTAAAAATTTGCTTCTCAGTTGAATAGGATGCGAAATCGAAGCAGACGAAGCGTTTATTTGTCGGCTACCGTAATTTCCCCCCCCAAGGGCGGGCACTTGCCTGTAACGGCATTGGCCACTGCTAAGGCCAGAAGTGGTGAGCATTTTATTGTGGAGTCACCTAATAGGCGACCACCACTACCTCCTATAAAGGGACAGCCAACTTTGCACCCATGCTTTCTCCAGCACTCGAACCCGGGCACTTTGGTATCGCCAGTTAGGCACTATACCGTATGGGCGGCCGTGTTCGGATTTAATCAAAAGTGACTCTCATTTAAGGGATAGACAATTATATGGTTTCTGTATCCTTACTTCCAGCTTATCTCGAGGACCTTCGCTACCATATCTCTCATGTGGTGGCAGTGATCGATTGTAAAATATTGGCATGCGCGGGAGACGACTCAGATTATTTCGTATTTACGAGATCAACACAATTGGATACACTGAGCATTTTTGAAACACCTGAAGAGTTTGGTTCTACATCAGTGAAATAAAATTTTATATGAACTGTGTAGTTTATTTGTTGTAAATTTTTTTAATGTTTCACGGAGTTATGAATAACCTCTGTTAATATATATTTAAAAAAGGAACCCTCGAAAGAATAATTTTATACTGATCAAATTTACAGTATATGATAATAAATTGCAAACCTATAAATCCTTTATTTAAATAACTCTAAAAAGATATGATCCTTAAATACGCTTCAAAATACTTTCAGTATATTCAAATTTAATAATATCAGTATCTAGAAATAAATCCTAATAACAAAACAAATGATTGAGAGATGTATATATTACATAAATAGCTGCATAAGATTATTAGCATTATTTTAATAACGCATTTTGCAGTTAAGCCTAACACGGAAAAATAACTTCTATAAAATCTGCTTTTGAACGATTTATTTATTCGATGTCTTGCATAAATTAATTAAATTTTATTTTTCATACTTTAACTAGAGAATAGGCGACCATTTAACTAGAGAGTTCTAGCATTTACAATTAAAATAAAATCTTAAAATAAGTGCAAGTTTAAAAATGATGGTTATATTTACTTTCCTAAATCATCTTCATGCAATACTGAAATTAAATTATTTGTAAAGCTGATTCAGAAGTCAAACAACAAAAATCAGCGTTAATTCACAAAATTTTCAGAGGACTAGTTTCGATGGTTTTACCGAACCATCATCTTCAGCTGCAAAACCTTTGCAAAACCTGCAAACCTTGCAGCTGCAAAACCGGTTTTGCAGCTGAAGATGATGGTTCGGTAAAACCATCGAAACTAGTCCTCTGAAAATTTTGTGAATTAACGCTGATTTTTGTTGTTTGACTTCTGAATCAGTATTTATTCGGCGTGTTATTGTGTCTTAATTTGTAAAGCTATTTTATTGCCTCTGAACTGCTGATACTTTCGCGCATTTTGGCAGTAATTTAACCAAGAATTCATCTGCTATGAATTTGATTAAATGCAGCCATCTAGTTCCCATTTGAAACTGAATATTGTAGAGACATTAGGTATTTTTTGGAAGCAGGCAAGATGAAAAATGAGCAACACCTTCGCTGAAAACCGAACCACGGACCTCTGGAATACGTGCAGACCACCACACCACGAAGGCATGCCAAGAAGGCGCGGGAGAAATACCTTATATACTCCTCTTTTTTAAAGGGCGACTGGGGTTTCAGGGGACCCCATCGCCAAATTCTGGGTGTGGAGAATCATTATCCAACACACTTTTAGTTCGGACGCTACTGTAGAGACATTAGGATTTTTTTTTTCGAAGCAGGAAAGATCAAAAATATGCATCGCCTTCGCCGGGAATCGAACGACGGACTTCTGGAATATGCGCCCAGTGTTCTGACCACTACATCATGAAGGCATGCCAAGAAGGCGGGAGAATTACCTTATGATCTGAATTCACTTAGTTTCCTTGATATCTTAATTATCTCCAGTACAACTGATTTTAACATCATTGTTTACCATTAAACATTTTCTGCGTGTGTACCTTCCCATGTAAAATCAGGTCACTTTGCTATGGCTTCTTTTTACTCTTTTGTATACTTTGCTTTCAAAGTTTGTTATTCAGAATCTTAGCTTTCTCATAAATTTAGTTATTCGAATTCAGTTGCTAGTGGCAGATCTTTTGCATAAGTGATAAAGCCTTTGAAAATGTTTTGTCTTACATCAAAACAGACATTCTTCTGTCAGAAGTAAAAACAATCATCCTTTCATCATTCCATTTAATCCTTCTATATATTAAAAATCACTCATATTATTATTATCATATTATTATTATATCATAGATTAATATCATATTATTATTATATCATAGATATTCTACTTTCATGTCATGTTCTCATTTATCAATAAAATTCGTTGCTCATTTTTAAACATCGCCTATCTAATTTTAATTCTGAAAGAATTTATAAAATACCCTATGAGTGTGATTTTTCATATATGTATCAAACAAAAAAGGCATTGAAATTTTGCGTAAAGGAGCATAAATCTTATGTTCTAAAAGAAGAAATATATAAAATTTCGGCAGTTAATCGTCGTTGGACATTTAATCATAATTTTGACTTGGGTTCTGCAAAAAATGTCTATAAATCTTCGTCTATGAATATTTTCATATTCACAAAAATTTATCTTCGTAAGTTATTTACATAAATTTTAATTAATTCTTTCCTAAACCTTTTAAATTTTTAATATCTTAGCCTCCATCAATCCATTACTATTCCTTTAGAGATATGACTCTACTTACGTAATCTCTTTACCCTGTCCGTTGCTTTTGAGATAACTACGTTTGTCGCGACATCCATTTGCCAGCATCCCCCCCTCTTTGAAGAAGAAGGATTTCTGTACGATCGACCTCGAATTCAATAGAATTTTATTCAAATCTACGTCAAACTAAGGTTGCTTTTTTTCTAATTTTAAAAGCAATCTGTCTTAAAACGTGTATATAATATCCACATACAGTAATTCGTAATCATTTCTAATTTCTGTATTTTTATTTGTTTAAAAGTCCTTTAAATCCTCTTTTAGTATTTTAAAAACATAATTTCTTGGTAGTCCGAGATTTTACAGATCAAAAAATGTAAGAGCTAGGAAAGTTTGTTTGTTTATTTGTACCTAGCTACTCACAAGTGACTCTAAGGCTTTTTTTAATTTAGGTTTTTATGTCTTTCTTGAAATCTCAGACACTGTGCCATTGTTTCCTTGGAAAGTAATATAGAAGACTCAATTTGTCAACTAGGCTACACTAAGTTTCATAGCTATTCACTGCTATTTTATGAACACTATGTCAGTTATTTTTGCATACAAATTCATCGGATAATCATTTTTAAAAAAATAATAATTGCAGTATTTTTTATAATTTTGAAGAAGGAATGACATGTTTCTCTTCCATGGTGGAATAAGTTTTAGCAGGAAATAATTTCTTCCCCAAGGTAACAAAAATATTTTTGTTTTTAATTCAGCATTTTATTTGGTAACATACATTTGGTGATTACGTTACTAAACAATATTTTTATTTATTTGGTTACGGCCAAGTTCTCTGCAATTTAATTAATTAATACTTGAAACAAAGTTCAAAAGAATTAGATATTTTTCCTCAATTTTTTTCCCGAAAAACAATTCTTAAGATTATGTATGCTTGAATTTAATATAGCACATAATACATTGAATTCAAATTTACAGAAAGGTGAAATAAAAAGAATTAATACAAATTTAATCATTAGATTTTATTCTGAAATTTTTATTAGATTGTTATCAACGATGCTTACTACTTATAAAATAAAATAGGCGGCCTCTAATACGAGAATATTACTCTATTTTAAAACTGCCAATTTAATTTAAGCAAACAGAAGTTGTGACTTCGACAAAAAATAAATCAAGATAAATTAAATAATTCAAGATAAGTTCTATAAATCAAAATAAATTACCTTTAACTTTACTAATTCATTCTGTAACTCTTCTACCAGACCTTGCGTTTCTGCAATGGCGATGCGGGCGCTATCCAAATCTGTTAATAACTTACTGTGTGGCTGTAAAAGAAAAAATACATATAAATGTAATCTTTAGACCTTAACATAAAGTGCATCGTATGAGTTAAGTAATTAATACATATATAATATTAAATAGATTTTATTTGTATATTAATATTATCCTATGATATATATATATATATGCAAATGGCATTCATAAATTTCTCAAGGACTGCAAATTCACTAAAACACATCCAGGTTGTTCCAAGATCTCCCAGCCTCAAACTTTTTCTAGACGAATATTATGAACAGAGAATAGGGCGGGCAGTCATGATCCACGTTAATAACACGCGAGACTAGATGAAGGCAAACTAAGGTACCAGGGCCAGAAACTTCAGCCTAACCATAAATCATAAGTAGTGTAAATATTTTGAATGCTAACTACTTTGTAATTCTACTAACAAAAAATATAAGTTGGATACCTATTATAAGGTTAAAATAATAATGTAATATTTTGTTAAATAAAGAGACGTTTGAAAAGATAAACAATCAAGGGTTGGCTGAGTAACGACCAGCATGATATATTTGACTTGTAGTGCCTTGAAGGTAAAGGAGGTTAAATGATAATTATTATGCTATGAAATATAAGAAACGTAAAAAAGCAGCACTTTATATTCAAAAGAAACAATAATTATACAAATCCGTGGGCACAAAAAGAGAGGAAAAAGTCTCAACTTTCATTAAACTTCTAATAGAAAATAGCTGATTGCAATTCATCATACTGCAAGACAGATTCCTGTTTTATAATATCTGTAAGCTACAAAAATGGCGAAATTTTATTGAAAATCTGCACATGCCAGTATTATATAATAACATATTGTTACGCTTTTCTTTACGTTAAGGGTTCATGATGATGAAGTGATTAACGACAGCACTTGCTGAAGAATGAAAACACACTTTATTAGCCAGTATTCTTCAAGACAGCTCCAAAAGCACATTTACAGTCGTCAAAGAACTACGACACGCACGCTGAAACAATCATCAATCACAGCCTTCAGGCTTTCAGGCTATAACGGTGAAAACAGCTTCACGTCAAAGCACCAGAGTACAGCTCCCGACCTTCCTCCGTCGTTCGCGGAACTCTGGAAACTCTCAACGCTACAACTCGCGATGCATTCAATGATACACTGGAGTACAGCTCTCGACTCGGTTCGGTCGTTCTCGGGGCTCAACACACTCTAAGATAAAACTCGACGATGCACTAACTCGCGATACACTAAGAGACTCTCTCGATACACTCGACGACCAACTCCGCACTCCGAACTGACTCTCCGCGTACCAGCAGGGTTTATATAGCTTTTTGGCTTGCGTTCAAGAACATTCCAAAATAGGGACGAAAAAAAATTTTAAACTCATTTATGTTGTCTATAGATTCATCGTATGAGTCATACGATGAATGTCATTATGCTTACTTTTTCATAACTTTTAAAAAATCATAACATTGCGCCCCTGAAAGGGTTAAAGACTACGCTAAACACAAGGTTGTTGCATTTTCTAATTGTAAACATTCTTTTCCTGGGAAATAATCGTAAAGTGATATAAATGCCCGAAAGAATATTAAATGGCAATATAATTATTTTATCATAAGAATAGCTGTATAATTTTAAGCTCTTCTCTTTGTATTATTAAGTTATCGAAGAATACCTTTACGAAGAGAAAATAAATCACTTACAATATTTGATAAATTAAAAAATAGTACTTACCAAGGCATACCTGGGGGAATTCTGATACAGAGTTCCGACCCTGGTCCAATTGAAGTGCCTCAAAAGTACCACTCGGGCTGGATTGAAGGCAGTTTCACTAGGCACTACTCTGAAGAAATTGGGATAATTTTCGTTTGTATACATGGGATGAGTATCCGCGTAAGTTAACTGAAAGGAAATAAGAAAAGTCATTTTATAAATTATTTTCCATTTTCAGTATGGAAATATAACAGATAATACATTCTAAATCCCAAAGACGTATCAAAAATTGTAAACTAATTCTCCCCATTTTCTACTCGTAGAATTTTATTTAAAAACATTTCTGTAATTTTTATTCCTATATTACCTAATTGTTATATATTTGCATTACAACTTTTATGCATTTCATACAACGCGCAATGTTTCTTGAAGAAAAGTGTAGGAACATTTTTGCTTTTCCAGTGTTTGTTGCTGCATGCTGCAAGATATCGTGCAATAAAAGTTTCAGAAATACTTATTTTTATCGATAAACATTAGCTGCCTTAATTCCCCATTTTTGATTGTTGTTACCTGTATGAAATTTCAGAACATTGCAATAAAAGATTAACAGAAACGAAGGTTGTTAGAAATCAAAAAAATGAAGTAACGTTTTCTACTTTTTTGGTTTTCTTTCAGTACCGCTTCTAATTTTCCCAAACGCACATAATTTGCATTTTGTACCTTTTTAATATTAATTAATGCATTTAATTTACATTCGTACTTAACACCGCGCGTACTATTTCCGAAAAACATACTCTTCAGAACGTAAATCGTTTAAAGATCTCCGCACCCTATGCAAGTGGCTGCTGTTTAAAAGACGAAAACTTTTATCAGCTTCTCGACATAAGCGTCCATACCTTCATGAAGATTGTTTCTAACCTCAAAAAATCAATCTTCGAACCATAAAGCATTTTTATGTTGAAGCATCCTCAGGTAGTTCGATTTCATTTGTGTGCTGATTTAATAAATTGAGCAGGAATGATTTTACTCTTTAGCAGCCTCATACAAAATCATTTCATTCGAGTTCATCCCTTGCTTAATTAATTAATAACAGTGGTTTGATAAACTAAGCTCTTTTTTTCCTCATCGAAATATATTCAAATCAATATCTTTTCATCCCAGTGTTGCTCGTTGCCTATCTACAGGAGATACGGAAAATCATTGCAGAGAAGGAAATGACAGCGTAATCACCATACCTTACACGGGTTTCAAATCCGAATCCAGTTAATAGTATTCATAATCCTTGGCAATTTAGTAAAACTAGAGTGATTTACTGTTGAAACAACCATTACTTTTGAGGTAAAACTACATTTATTATAAATAATTTATTTCTTTTCATTATTTGTCAATTTATGTTAAATTTTGTTGTACAGAAATCAGTACATTTCGCAAAGTGCCAATTTTGTTCAAGTTAAATATCTGCTAATTACACTTAAATTGCAAGACAGTGCTTTCCTAATTCTTTCAGCAAGAGTATTGTATTATAGCAGTTGTCTTGATAATACGAAGATTAGCGGTAGCAATCGCATCGAAATTGCAACAGATTGCTGAAACGACATCGCTAATTCTCTGATGATATTTCACTTTTTTATGTTTATATATATATATATATATATATATATATATATATTTCAGTATGACAGTTTTGCTATTTTTGAATATTTGAATTCACTAAATTATAAATTTCTCCATTTCTGTGTCTATATTCGGTTTTGTGTTGAGAAGCATTTTAGGCATAGAAATTCGGGTATTCTATTTCAACAGAAATATCCATTTTGACAGTTCCTGAATGAAATTACACGATTTCTGTACGTGACATCTACCCGAGCGGGCAGAATAAAAGGATTCTTTTATTCAAAACGGATTGTAAAACTGTTTTAAAATGGATTCAAAAGATTTTTTTTTTCATGACGTCTACATATGTACGTATGTATGCGTCTTGCATAACTCAAGCACGATTAGGCGTAGAACGTTTAAATTTTGTATATGGGAGTGCTATAAACATCTAGTTGTGCAGCTCATGTTTTTATTACAATCGTCAGTACCATACTTATGACCATTATGTGTGTGTATATATATATATAAATATAGTTTAATCGCAATCCTCTTCTGAATTAATATTTTATACATTCAATTTACAATATTTTTCACACTTCATTTAGTGAGATAATCATAAATAATATGCGTATATATAAACATCCCTGCACTCGGCTTCAAAGCCCTTCCCCGGCCTTTATTTTCTCAATCTTTGTTTGTAATCAGATACTATTAATCACAGAAGTGTTTGAATTAAAGAAAATATTCGTGCTTTGGCAATGCCAAATTTAAAAAAGGAAGAAAAAAAAATTCGACAAATAACGAATTGTAACTTTTAATACTATGCTTATACCCGAAAACTTTTTATACTCATTATGAAAATTAGCTGCCTTAATTCCCCATTTTTGAATGTTGTTACCTGTATGAAATTTCAGAACATTGCAATAAAAAGATTAACAGAAACAAAGGTTGTTAGAAATCAAAAAAATGAAGTAACGTTTTCTACTTTTTTGGTTTTCTTTCAGTACCGCTTCTAATTTTCCCAAACGCACATAATTTGCATTTTGGTACCTTTTTAATATTAATTAATTGCATTTAATTTAATCATTCGTACTTAACACCGCGCGTACTATTTCCGAAAAACATACTCTTCAGAACGTAAATCGTTTTAAAGATCTCCGCACCCTTATGCAAGTTGGCTGCTGTTTAAAAGACGAAAACTTTTATCAGGCTTCTCGACATAAGCGTATCCATACCTTCATGAAGATCTGTTTCTAACCTCAAAAAATCAATCTTCGAAACCATAAAAGCATTTTTATGTTGAAGCATCCTCAGGTAAGTTCGATTTTCATTTGTGTTGCTGATTTAATAAATTGAGCAGGAATGATTTTACTCTTTAGCAGCCTCATACAAAATCATTTCATTCGAGTTTCATCCCTTGCTTAATTAATTAATAACAGTGGTTTGATAAACTAAGCTCTTTTTTTCCTCATCGAAATATATTCAAATCAATATCTTTTCATCCCAAGTGTTGCTCGGTTGCCTATCTACAGGGATAGACGGAAAATCATTGCAGAGAAGGAAAATGACAGCGTAATCAACCATACCTTACACGGGTTTCAAATCCGAATCCAGTTAATAGTATTACATAATCCTTGGCAATTTAGTAAAACTAAGAGTGATTTACTGTTGAAACAACCATTTACTTTTGAGGTAAAACTACATTTATTATAAATAATTTATTTCTTTTCATTATTTGTCAAATTTATGTTTAAATTTTGTTGTTACAGAAATCAGTACATTTCGCAAAGTGCCAATTTTGTTCAAGTTAAATATCTGCTATATATGACACTTAAATTGCAAGACAGTGCTTTCCTAATTCTTTCAGCAAGAGTATTGTTATTATAGCAGTTGTCTTGATAATACGAAGATTAGCGGTAGCAATATCGCATCGAAATTGCAACAGATTGCTGAAAAGACATCGCTAACTTCTCTGATGATATTTCACTTTTTTATGTTTATATATATATATATATATATATTTCAGTATGACAGTTTTGCTATTTTTGAATATTTGAATTCACTAAATTATAAATTTCTCCATTTCTGTGTCTATATTCGGTTTTGTGTTGAGAAGCATTTTAGGCATAGAAATTCGGGTATTCTATTTCAACAGAAATATCCATTTTGACAGTTCCTGAATGAAATTACACGATTTCTGTACGTGACATCTACCCGTGCGGGCAGAATAAAAGGATTCTTTTATTCAAAACGGATTGTAAAACTGTTTTAAAATGGATTCAAAAGATTTTTTTTTTCATGACGTCTACATATGTACGTATGTATGCGTCTTGCATAACTCAAGCACGATTAGGCGTAGAACGTTTAAATTTTGTATATGGGAGTGCTATAAACATCTAGTTGTGCAGCTCATGTTTTTTATTACAATCGTCAGTACCATACTTATGACCATTATGTGTGTGTATATATATATATATAAATATAGTTTAATCGCAATCCTCTTCTGAATTAATATTTTATACATTCAATTTACAATATTTTTCACACTTCATTTAGTGATAGATAATCATAAATAATATGCGTATATATAAAACATCCCTGCACTCGGCTTCAAAGCCCTTCCCCGGCCTTATTTTCTCAATCTTTGTTTGTAATCAGATACTATTAATCACAGAGAAGTGTTGAATTAAAGAAAATATTCGTGCTTTGGCAATGCCAAATTTAAAAAAGGAAGAAAAAAAAATTCGACAAATAACGAATTGTAACTTTTAATACTATGCTTATACCCGAAAACTTTTTATACTCATTATGAAAAAAATAAGATTGTATGGGAAATTTCATTCCTGGGGGAAGTTCATAAGAGAAAACTGACAGGGATATTTAATTTCAAAATTAGCAATTTTTGATGTCATTTTCAACTTTTTTGGATGGATCGGTTAATGAAGTTACAATAATTCGAGGGAATAAGTTTAAATGAAGCGCAACAAAAAGTGTGTATAGTTTATTAGGCTCTACAAAAAAGTAATGTGGTATTCAAAAAAGTAATGTGGTATTATCAACATATTTTGTTTTATAAATATGCATTATTTCTTAAACTGTAAATTCTAAAAGTTAGTCTACAACTCCATTGTACTTATTACATTTGAAGAGTAATTTCTTTCAACATACATGCACATATATCAGCCTGCTTTTGTTAATTTTTCATACAAGTTTACAGAATAATTAAAGTAGAATTTTCCCTTTGGGAAAGCTCCCACATAAAAACTAAAGTTCGTTAATGAATTACGTATCTTGTGAAAGAATAACACTTTCAGTTTTCTCCTTCTCTGCGAGTATTTCTAATGCCAAAGTTAAATTGAAAGCGATTACGATTGCCACATAAAATCTTCGTGAACTTTCGGTATGATTAATGAAGTTACTGTTAATCGAATTTATGCTCCCATCATTTATTTTCCACATTAAAGTAGCTTCAGTCATATTCGAAATGGATCTGCATATCTGTAAAAATCGATCAATATTTCATTATCTTAAAGAGATTTCTAATTATAACGATAGTTAACAAATAAGTATAATTAATTAAATCCCGTCATTGT